GGAAAAAAAAATGTGTTCTTTTCTCTGTATTCCCTAAGTATTTATAGTAGGTCAATATTTATTCACTTGGCTTTTATTTAATAACTGCCATCTATGAAATCAGTATTGTGTTAAGCTTTGGAGCTATAGCAATATTCAAGACATACTCAGGTTGCTCTCATTCTGGTATTTTCTATGGTGAAGATGGGGAAAGTAAAAATTATAGATACAATGTCTCTAAAAATGAAAGCAAAATGTTCACTTAAGAAAGAATTGTTGTTGGTTATGGTGGCCCATGCCTGTAATCCCAGTGTCTTAGGAGGCTGAGGAAGGAGGATCATGAGTTCAAAGTCAGCCTCAGCAAAGCGAAGTGCTAAGCAACTCAGTGAGACCCTGTCTCTAAGTAAAATACAAAATATGGCTAGGTATGGGACTCAATGGCCGAGTGCCCCTGAGTTAAATCCCCGGTAATTCTCCCCTCACCCCACCCCCCAAAAAAGCAAGAAATTGTTTTGCAGCAGAAAAAAAGAACAAATGTTCCAAATAATTTTATTTATATAAAGATAAGTAGAGATTTCATGGATATAAGTATTTTAAATGTTAATAATCCAGGCAAGAGATGGTAAAAACATCAAAATAGCAGTAAAAGAGGCCAAGGGATAAATTTGAAAAATATTTAGAAAGGCAAACTTTCAGAAATGAATTTAATAGGATGTAGCTGCAAAGAGTAAGTAGTCTAGGATGATGTCAAAACTCAAGAGACTTGTTTTAGTCAAGGGCACATGAATCTAAACAAGAGTCACTGGAGAGCTAAGATGTCAGTGCATTCGCCACTTGAAATTACTTTATTACACTGTCAAAGGAAAGCACTAAGCACCAAGAAACATGGCAGTGCATTTCATTTGCAGTTGTACCTAACTGAGCCATAAAGATGCAAATGAGAATGCCAAGCTTCTTTTTCCACCATATACAGAGGACTAAGTGTGGTGGATGTTACTCCTTGGCTTAATATCTTTTTACCAAACCCTTCCTCTACCTGATGAGCTAATTCATTCTTTTTCATCATGAAAACATCTAAGCACAAAAGAAAATGTGTCTATCACTCACAGGTCTTCTTCGGAAAAAGATAGCACATCTCATCAACCAATGCCTGGGATTGCTGCAGCCACATCTCAGGAGTCCTGGGTATTTTCCTAAAAGAGTTCATCCTGTTAAGTATTCTTGAATTTTCTGATCATAAAACTACCATGAAAGGAAGAAGATTACGAATATAAAGCATTCATGAGCAAACCCGCAAGCTCACAACTTTACATAAGCTCACTGTTGGCCCTGCAAAGGTAAATATATGTGGACTTTTCCAATTTCCTTTTTAAATTATAAACCACATTAATTCAGGCATCTGAAAAAGGGCATCTCCTTTCTCAGCCACACCTCCTACTACTGCACAGGTATGCTAAGAGACATTTATTTCCTCAGCAAATGGGTGTAATGAGACTTTTCACAAGGGAAAATGTGCAGAATTCTCTAGGTGCAGTCCTAAGGGGGATGGGGAAGCACTGAAGAGAGCCCACATAGGGGACCATTAATGCTGAAGGCACAAAGCCTGATGACGTCGCCCCCACGTGGCGACATGGGGGGTTTACAATCGCCGTGGGAGGGGCGTTATCAGCAGCAGCTTTCTGGCTCCAGCCCTACAGCACCAAGATCTGTGCCTTGGAGCCAGGGTAAATCTTTTTTTTTTTTCTTTTTTTTTTTTTTTTTATTGTTGGTTGTTCAAAACATTACATAGTTCTTGATATATCATCTTTCACACTTTGCTTCAAGTGGGTTATGAACTCCCATTTTTAGCCCATACAGGGGGAGAAATGAAGGTCAATAGAGGGGGTAGAGAGAGAAGAGGGGTGGGGAGGGGAGGGGAAGGGGGGGGGGATAGTAGAGGATAGGAAAGGTAGCAGAACATGACAGTCACAAGTATGGCAATATGTAAATCAGGGTAAATCTTAAGAGCAGGCTGGGAAACTCCAAATGACCAAGGTCGGGAGCGGAGGCAGAGATGGGGTTAAGAGGGAAGAAAGTGATCTGTGAGGTGAAGGGGCTTCACCAGATTCAGAGATGACTAGTAGTTCGGTTTTGTGGCCTCGCATTGATGCATGGAAGACTGTCCTATAGAAGTCAAGCTGTTTGAAACTCCTCACTTGTCTTAAAAGATAAATCATCCATTCACATGACTCCCACTGATTCACAGCAGAATCTTGAAATCATTTCTAAATCTGGCCTTTCCTGAGGTCAAATTAAGAACTTTAGTTTCTTATTAATGCTGTGAATATACAGTTATAGAAACTGTAAGTATTACAATTAGAATAGGGTGGTTGACTCTTCTGGATTTTCTGTGCTTCTGGGATTGAAGAGCGAGAGATGTGACCCCAAATCCATATTGTCATGGCTCACTGGGTGGGAGACTACTTATAGAAATTATATTTTGAAGAGGGTACAGATTGGAGTCTTAGATAAGGAGTCAGGAGTCTTGAAAATATGCTAGATTTTCCAAGGAAGTTAGCCAATCAACAGTTCTTGAACTTCCTTAAGAAATACACTTTTTTGTTAATGTTTGAAGGAAATAAGAGGACATTGAAATACAGTCTCTCAGAGGGAGATTATATAGTCCTAATGGTGAGATCATGATTATACTAAACTCTTAGAGAACAATACTGAACAGTCAAATTAGCTTTAAGATGTCGGCAGAAATTAAATACTATATTTTATGTTCTTCAAATCTTCATCTCAAATGTTATGTGTCCCTGTTCTAGAATTATGAAATCATACACCATGCTCCTCCTGTAAATACCCCAGGAGAACCATGTCATCCTGTTCCTAAAACACCTACAAGAAAGGGCACGGTGCTTTTCCATCAGTAAGTATCAAGGATAAAATGGTAGCCAACTTTTCAACTATATATGAATGTGGGTTTAAAGGGATAAAATACAAACTTAAAGGATGGGGAAAAATTTTCCTTGAAAATACTTTCACCAACAGTGCTGTTACTTTTATTGATGCAACAAAGAAGATTTTAAGTTGGATGGGCAAGGATATGGGAGAGGAAAATGTCAAAGAGGAGAATGTGGTCTCCTGAACTGTGAAATTATTATTATTACCCTAATATAGCATATTGGATGACTGAGCTATAAAAAATCTTTAGGCTCATGTGCATGTTTTTCAATGAGCCATCAGGATAACAGGATACAACAACTTTGATGTTAGACTATTTTCCTAAAGTTGGCCAAAACTAATCCTTGAACAATTGAATCTCTAATTAGATTATAATGCTTTTTTCCCCAATAATACCTGGAATGAAGAATAGGTCACAAACACTTCTGATACTGGAAATTCAGAAAACAAGTTTTCATGGAAATTTTTTATGAGCTCAGCAAAATCCAGACATTGCAAAGGATAATAATAAACAATAATTTCCATTTACTAAGGGTTATATGCATTGTATTATGTAAATATTATAGTAGTTTTTCACATGTATTATGCCTTTCAGTTTTCAAAATAAACCTGTAATGTGTTAATCTTATTTTCCATAATAGAGAACTGAAGCTCAGGGAGGATCTTTGAAACATGACGGTTCCCAAAGACTGTACTTCTAACCAATAGTAAGCTACAGGTGAGTAGTAGGTAGAAAGTAAGGTTATACAAAGCTGAACCAGGAGGTTCAGCCGCAAGGCAGGTCTAGGCAATCTTCTCATAATTAACCAGTCTTGAATGATCAGTTTGGAAATATTTAACCAAAAAGTCAGTGTCCAAATTTTTGTTTGTTTGTTTTATTTACTGGGGATTTAATCCAGGGGTGCTTTATCATTGACTCACATTCATACATAGCCTGTTTTATTAATTTATTTTTATTTTGAGACAGGGTCTCATTAAGTTGCTGAGACTGGCTTTGAACTTGTGATCCTCCTGTCTAGGTTTCCTGAGTCACTGTGTACCTAAGAAATGGGGAGGGCTGGTTAAGGGAGAGGATCCTGCTTTGATTAATCATGTTAAAAGCAATGTGGAAACCAATGTCAAAACATCAAACAACTGGCAATGAAATTAGAGATTATTGGTATGAAAAATACCATTGCAAAACATTGTTAATTGAGATTCACATACACAACCAGAATTTGCCCAAAGACATATAATATATTCTGCTGTACCTTCTCTTTCCAAATTCCTTTTTTCTACAGAGAAAGCAGGTATTTTATTCTGTCCTGAGAACCAACAGTAAGTGATTGTTTATTCTAAGGTATATATTTTATCATGCCAAACATTTTTATGGTGCAAAGGGTAAAATAATCTATTAATGAGTTTATCCATAGTTTTTAACTGGGATAAATTTTGAGAGGGATAAATTTTGAGAATGATCTCAATAAAACTTTCAAAGTTATAAAAGTAAATTATAGCACTGGCACACAAAAACAGTATCAATTTGCTATTTAAATTTTTTTACATTCATCCTGAAACATACACTTAATGCTCATGCTTGTGATTTTGAAATAATCATGGTAAAATGGGATATAAATCAAGACATCATTCTTTTAATTTAAAAATAAACAGCTATAAGATTAACAATGAGGAAGATCAGTGCTTCCCCAAGTAAGTGGTCTTGCCCCTTCATTTAAAAGACCTAGGATTTTCTGATACATTGATAGGATACATTTGGCAATGAGCTGCTGAGTGTCTTTTAAAAGAGAATGAAAATATTAAACACCCTTTGTACCAACTCATGGATTAAGCAAGCTTGAAAAGGCTAGATTTTCAATTTGTTAATTGCACTTGTATTTTTCTATGTAAGGAAATTGGACAATACATGACAACAAATTTGACAATATGGCACTCTATGGCAGTTCTTGTCACACTGTTAATGAACCAGGGAATCTCTCTTCCTTGGTATAATTTGGGTCATTATATTAGTTTCCCTCTCTTAGTCCCATGATTTTTTATTTCAATGAAGACCTTTGTTTGCTTTGACTTAGTTTCCAACAATGGCTTTACTTCCGGTGGCGCTGCTTCTCATTGCTATGCTGCTTCCATCTTTACCTGCTGAAGGAAAGGTAAAGTTAAAAAGAAAAACTACATGAGATGGCCAGCTACTTTGAGAGAAGAAGGGACAAGAGTGTATAGTGTGGTACAGAGTGCTCATTGGTAGCTCAGAGCACTAGACACAGTTATGGGTCGTGAAGGTTAGGAGGCGAGGGTGTGTTGCGGTGCAAAGATAGGCAGGTGAGAGTGGCAGCCCCCAGTCACAGATGACTATTGAACGCTGAAAAAGACAAGTTGTACTGAAAGTTCGAGATACTTATCAGAAATCAAAGATTTAGAACAAAAATAATCTCATTTTTATATTAAAATACATAATTAAACAGTAGTATTTTAGATATTTAGTTAAACAATGGATTCAGTTCTTAGGGCTATTATAACAAATTACCACAAGTTTGGTGGCTTATAGGAACAGAAATTTATTTTCTCACAGTGTGGAGACCAGAGTCTAAAATCAAGGTATCTGCACAGCTGCAGTTCTGATGGAAGATTTAGGAAAGATCTATTCCATGCATTTCTCCTAGCTTCTAGTGGCTTCTGCCAATTTTTGACATCCTTGACTTGTGGTCATATGACTCCAATTTCTGCCTCCATGTTCACATTACATTCTTTTCTCTGTGTGTTGCTCATAACGACATTTGTCATTGGACTTAGATTTTATTAATTCATAATGATCTCATCCCAAGAGCCTTAACTTAATTATATCCACAAAGATGTTTTCTCTAAATATGATAACTTTCATGGATTCTGGAAATTAGGACATAGACATATCTTTTGGGGGACCACCACATCATACAAATAAAATACATTAAAGTAATTTCATCTTTCTCCTTAACGTCTTTAATAGAGCCATCTACAACTAAAATTGCATATGATGGCTTAAGGAACATTTTGAATGGACAGCATGGTCTCTGGGTTTAAAAAGCTAATGATAGTCCTCCTGCCCCAAGATATTTTCTGATTTCCTTATTTTATTCCATTTGTATGTGGTCCCTACAAAAAAAAAAGCAACACATTTATGTAATTTAAATTGGAAAAAGTTCTTCACATATGTCACACACACTTAATCATTATAATTATGATATAAAATTTGATAAGTTAAAAAAATGCCATACTGTTTTATGCATGAACAGTCATAGAATCAGTTTGTGAAAACGTCCTTATTATGTGAAGTCTTGAATTCAAATCCTCTATTTCTAATTGGATCCTTTGCTTTAATGATCTTAGAAATAAGTTCATTCATCCTCTTCAAAAGAGTGACTGTGTAGTTTTCAGTTGGCCAGGAGACCACAGCTTTGGTCCACGCTGTCTATTCTCATACCTTCTTCAAAGTGTTCAAGACCAGGACTCCTCAGACTGGAGAACTCTTTTGACACTTGGTTCAGACCTCACTTGGCATTCAGAAATACAGACTTTTATGTTTCAGTGATCTAATTGTCAGTCTAGAGAGAATCTGTTCCTCAACTAGGGCTTCAGTACAGTAGTTTTCTTATTTCTTTCTCAAACAGATTTTCTTTCATCACCTTTCCTAATGCCTTTAATCTCTATGATCTGTCTCTGGTCTTCATTTATAAAACCATTTTGCCTCTAGTATAACTAATGATCAGAAGCACTGAACATGGTCTTGTGGGCATGATTTTCCATACTATCTCAGGATGCCTAGAAAATGTATTCATCTTTCAAAAAACTACAATCCAGAATCATCTTTTGTGAAAACTTCCTCAACCTCAAGTAAGAATAGTAAATCCTTCCTTTCTATTTTATAGATCCCTCTCATAAAAGTTTTGCTTATGTCATACTGTCTATACAATATGAACCCTTAAAGGTAGACAGCTATCATATTTTATTCATATTATTCTCAATACTTCACATATTTTCTTTCCCCTAAAGAAGCTCTATTAGTACTCAGTTTGGAAAAAAAAAGTAACTTTCTTTTTCAGGAGAATTATTACCTACAAAGCAAGATGGTATAAGAAGCAGAAAATAAGTACTTCTTTTTAAGAAACTACCTTTTGAAATGAAACTACTTTGACAAGATTTTTTAATTTAATAGGAAATATCAAGCAATGTTATTTTATGTTTTGATAAATGGCAGAGATTGGCCACTACTGATGTTAACATGTGCATCCCTTCTATCTTAGGGGTCAGTAGCTGTGCTGTTTCTATTGGTACAAGGCATTGACTAATTTTCCTTTATCCTTAGGAGAGAGAAATGAAACACATACTAGATATTGGCAATAAAATTCAGGGTCTATGAGTAGAGTACTGGAAAAGACTTGAAGGGAACAAAATATGGGAGGAGAGGAGGGCAATGTATCCCAAAATTACCAGGAAAAAAAAATCTATAATGGGCTCTGTTCACTTAAACTTGAACTTCAAAATCTTTCTCATACTAATAGAACATCAAACCCTTTTGTAAATATAAATTTAGTCCTTGTACCAACAATCCACATGCCCTATTCTACCCAGGGCTGAGCTCCTCCCCCATATCCACAACCACAAAGATAAATTGAAAATATCTTTCAATTACCTTTAATATCTTATCAGTTACATTTTTGTCATTAAAAGGAAAAGTTAAGTCCATGAATTGGATGAACTTGCTCCCTCCAAACATCCTTGAAGATTTTTTTTTTAATATCTCAAATCTGTATTTTGAGCAAGCCTAAAAATAAGTAAATATGTAAAGTAAATAAGTAAAAATGATTTTTTCTTAAGTACTGGCTGGGTTGGCATATGCTTGGGCTGAACCTAAACATTCTCTAAATGCAGATACCAAAAGTGAATTCAAAATGGATCAAGGAGCTTGATATCAAATCAGAGACACGCCGTCTGATAGAAGAAAAAGTTGGCTACGATCTACATTCGGTGGGGTCGGGCTCCAAATTCCTCAATAGGACACCCATAGCACAAAAGTTAATAACTAGAATCAACAAATGGGACTTACTCAAACTAAAAAGTTTTTTCTCAGCAAAAGAAACAATAAGAGAGGTAAATAGGGAGCCTACACCCTGGGAACAAATCTTTACTCCTCACACTTCAGATAGAGCCCTAATATCCAGAGTATACAAAGAACTCCAAAAATTAGACAATAAGAGAACAAACAACCCAATCAACAAATGGGCCAAGGACCTGAACAGACACTTCTCAGAGGAGGACATACAATCAATCAACAAGTACATGAAAAAATGCTCACCATCTCTAGCTGTCAGAGAAATGCAAATCAAAACCACCCTAAGATACCATCTCACTCCAGTAAGATTGGCAGCCATTATGAAGTCAAACAACAAGTGCTGGCGAGGATGTGGGGAAAAGGGTACACTTGTACATTGCTGGTGGGACTGCAGATTGGTGCAGCCAATTTGGAAAGCAGTATGGAGATTTCTTGGAAAGCTGGGAATGGAGCCACCATTTGACCCAGCTATTCCCCTTCTCGGTCTATTCCCTAAAGACCTAAAAAGAGCATGCTACAGGGACACTGCTACATCGATGTTCATAGCAGCACAATTCACAATAGCAAGACTGTGGAACCAACCTAGATGCCCTTCAATAGATGAATGGATAAAAAAATGTGGCATTTATACACAATGGAGTATTACTCTGCATTAAAAACTGACAAAATCATAGAATTTGCAGGGAAATGGATGGCATTAGAGCAGATTATGCTAAGTGAAGCTAGCCAATCCCTAAAAAACAAATGCCAAATGTCTTCTTTGATATAAGGAGAGTAACTAAGATCAGAGTAGGGACAAAGAGCAGGAGAAGAAGATTAACATTTAACAGGGATGAGAGGTGGGAGGGAAAGGGAGAGAGAAGGGAAATTGCATGGAAATGGAAGGAGACCCTCAGGGTTATACAGTGGAGGGGGTAGAGAGAGAGGAGGGGAGGGGAGGGGAGAGGTGGGGAGGGGGGAGGATGGGAAAGGCAGCGGAGCACAACAGACACTAGTATGGAAATATGTAAATCAATGGATGTGTAACTGATGTGATTCTGCAATCTGTGTATGGGGTGAAGGTGGGAGTTCATAACCCACTTGAATCAAAGTGTGGAATATGATATGTCAAGAAATTTGTAATGTTTTGAACAACCAACAATAAAAAATTTTAAAAAAAAAAGTCCCCTAAAACATTGAGGATGAATCGTGAGCTCCATCCTCACTCCATCTCATTCATTCGCCTGATCAGATATAAATGAATATGCATGAAACTTTGTGGTTTTAAAATATTATCTATTATATGTTAACAAAAAAATTATTAAGAGTTCTCTCAAAGCCAGATATTGGTATTTGTGGCCTCAGAGTTTTTAATTTAATTACTCTCCATTTTCAATACTTTGGTCTTCTACTTTCCTATTTAAGTCACAGCTTTTGCTCAGATGCATTGTAACACTTGAGGGCTAGTATTTGCTTTTAACATTTGTGCAGTACTACACAACTAAATACACACTTTTTGATCTTTGTGACTTTTTAATTCACTTATTCACTATTATAAGCAATTTTCAAAAATGTTTTAAATTTTATTTTCCTTTAGGATCCAGCTTTTACTTCTTTGTTAACTACCCAAACACAAGTGCAAATGGAGATTGTAAATAAACACAATGAACTAAGGAAATCTGTCTCTCCCCCTGCCAGCAACATGTTAAAAATGGTAAGAAGCAGAAATGGTGTGAACGGGATGTGAAAGGAGCAGGCAGCTGGAAACATGCATCTCTTTAAAACTTCGTGGTTTGCAACATTCTATTTTGCTGTTTTATTTCAACTTTCATATGGGGAGGACTGTGTTTCTTATTTTTGTTTTGAAAGATGGTTTAATAACTTATCAAGTGGGAAGGCTGAATTAGAAGCCAAATCTTTGAGCATCCAGGATGAAGTCATCACATTTTTTGTTCACTATCTTTCTAGTCTTAAGAAACTTTTGTTTCTTCAAAGTCCTTGTCATTATTTTTTTTTTTGATTTGTATTTTTCTTTTTTTTTTATTGGTTGTTCAAAACATTACAAAGCTCTTGACATATCATATTTCATACATTTGATTCAAGTGGGTTTTGAACTCCCAATTTTACCCCAAATACAGATTGCAGAATCACATCGGTTACACATCTACATTTTTACATAATGCCCTATTAGTAACTGTTGTATTCTGCTACCTTTCCTATCCTCTACTATCTCCCCTCCCCTCCCCTCCCATCTTCTCTCTCTACCCCATCTACTGTAATTCATTTCTCTCCTTGTTTATTTTCCCATTCCCCTCACAACCTCTTATATGTAATTTTGTATAACAATGAGGATCTCCCTCTATTACCATGCAATTTCCCTTTTCTCTCCCTTTCCCTCCCACCTCATGTATCTGTTTAATGTTAATCTTTTCTTCCTGCTCTTCCTCCCTGCTTTGTTCTTAGTTGCTCTCATTATATCAAAGAAGACATTTGGTATTTGTTTTTTAGGGATTGGCTAGCTTCACCAACATAAATGAAAGCTCCACATTCCAAGATTTGTCCCTAAAAGCCCAGTATCTCCCATCTGAAAGTGATAAGCTTCAAATGAAGCTGGGAATAATCTGGGCCAGCTTATTACTATTAAAATATAATTAGAATACTTCACATGTCTGTCAATATCTAAGAGTAGCACCATTACTAAAAATCCTCAGTGTGGATAGATGAACAATCAGATATTCTTAGGTATTTCTGTCCTTAGGCAAACAACCTATGGATTGCTCCTTGTGTGGAAGCGGGCATTGGTGCAGATAAAGACGTACTGAAAAATGAAGCCACCAAAAATACATTTTAATAAGAATGATTATTAGATAATAATCCTACAGAAGTTTTAAATTATTGCTTATCAATATATCGATTATATGCTTCATTGTGGTTAGATCATTAAGTGTATTTTTTTCTTTTGACATTTAGGAATGGAACAGAGAAGCAACACAAAATGCCCAAAAGTGGGCAAATAAGTGTACTTTGCAGCACAGTGGTCCAGAGGATCGACAAACCAGTATGTGGATGAGCAAATATTTGCTGAAAAAATGAACAAATACAATGATAATAGATTTTTGTAGCCTATTTCATTAAGAAGAAATCATGAATAAATGCTTCTTATGCTGCTTTTTAAACTCAAATGATCTGTATGTAAATAGAAGGATGATAATGAAAAGGACAATTTTGTGCACATGTTTGTTATTTACATTATTCAAATAATTTCTCATACAGTATCACATTCGTTCCTCTCCACCAGCTCATGAGTAACACAGTTCATGTATCTCTATTTTGCAGTGTAAAGATTAGAAAAGTTTGGGGAGGAAAGTGATTTACCCAAGAACACACCAAAGTAGTATCATACTAGACATTTTCAGTCAAGTTTTCTGATTTCCAACAAAATTTCCTTTTTGACATTTTGAAATCTAATTTTTATATTCATAAAATACATTGAATTATGTTGAATTGTTCCTGAGTTTTACTCTATAAATAATGTACCCTTTTAAAATCATATTTTAAATGATCATGTTCAGAATTCAACTAAAATTAATATTTTGAATATATTTATTTTCAAATTCTTTACATCAAGCAGCCAAGTATTTTGTAGGTACAAGGTGCTTACAATGCATAGAACGCTGAACTCGAAAAGCAATAAGACACATATTGTCATGTATGTAAAAAATAAATAAATAAGGTTATAAATACTATGAGAGTAAAAAACTTGTATGTATGGGCTTTACATAAAATATTTACTTACTATCAAGAATCCTTCATATATATATATATATATATATATATATATATATATATATATATATACACACACATACATACATACACATATAAAGCAGTTAATCATTAACCTGTTATTTTAATTGAACTATTATTATTTATTTAGTTTGATGCTATAATCATAATAAAATTATAGAAATGGCCATATTCAGTGGAAGACTAAAACAGTCTTGAAGATCCAAATGTACTGTTAAATTTTTACTTTCTTTTCTTCATTGTTAAAAAAGATAACCAAGAATATTTTATCTTCTTTATAAGCAATATGTAGACATTATATTTCAAGCCACTGAAAGGTGAATATTAATTGAGAGCTTGCAAAGTACAGGAAATATTTTTGGGCTACAAGACATGCCCAGAAATTTGGGTTTGTGACATTGTGTTCTCTGGTAAAGGAAGACTCATGGTTTTGAAAACTATCTTCCTGGGGTCAGTTGTCTCTCAATTGGGACTCTTAAAGACTGTCTAAAAAGCCTTTTTTTTTTTTCAAATTTGACACAAAATCATGAACATTTTTTGAGCATCCTATTTTTGAAAAATCTCTGGTGAGGGTAGTAAGAGCAGGAGAGAAATTGCAATTAGGTGTTGGTGGCTACCTGTAGCAAGGATGCAATACACACTGAAAGCAGTGAGGCACACACACACACACACATGAAAACTCAGTGTATAAGTGATTGCATCCTAGATAATCCAGAGGGAGGGGGGCTTTTAAAGAATAGGATCTTCTCAATCTACTAAAAAATTTGCAAGTTCTGGCTAGTCTCAATATTTAGGCAATTCTGTCTTCTAATCTTCTCTAAAGTTGATCTGGAGATAAGATAGCCTCCTCTCATCAGTCAGAAGCTAGCAACTATGAACCCTGTACTTGAAAGGCAGCATCTTTGCATTTGTGAGGTCAATTTCTTTTTTGAGTTTTATTGCCTTCCTCATATATGATCTGTTCCTTCCTAGCTACAAAATGTGGCGAGAATCTCTACATGTCAAGTGACCCTGCTCCCTGGTCAACGGCAATCCAAAGCTGGTATGATGAGAGCCGTGGATTTACCTATGGTAAAGGACCAAAGAATCCCCAGGCAATTGTTGGACATTACACTCAGGTAAGAGAAACAGTGAAATCCCCCTGCCACAAACATTATAACAGTTTGCAGAAACAGCTTGAGTAATCATAATAATCTTGGCATTTGACTGATAGTTCATTGAGATCTGCTATTTTTATCCATGGTCCAAAAAATGTTTGGTAGGAAAAAACATACACAGTATTGCTCCTATAATATAAATAGGTAAGCTTGTGAATGTACATAAAATTTTTGTATTTTTAAAGTGCATGACTTTGATTCAGTAAATTTAAATATTTTCATAAGATGTGGACATAAATTTAACCACAGTAACATCATCAGTGTTATATTTGCTACTATTTCTTTTTTAATATTTTCTATTTTTGTAACAAGTACCCCGATATGCTCATTCTCTTATGGATTTGTAGCTTGTTTGGTATTCATCCTTCCGCGTTGGATGTGGAGTTGCCTACTGTCCCAATCAAGACAGTCTAAAATACTTCTATGTTTGCCAGTACTGTCCTGCGTAAGTGTTCACATTAGAGTTTAATGCCAATAATTGTATCTGCAATATAATATTTTAAAATTCTCATATATTCATCAATAGGAAAATAATAAATCAATAAAGGTGTGATACATTTCTGGAAATAATGTTTAAGATTGAGACACCTTTAATTTCTCAGAGAAGATACCAAGTTCTCAGTCACAAATAAAATGATGCTCTCATTCCTCATTTAAAAAATGATGTAATTTCTTTAATTATCTTTCCTGAGGATTAGGGTTATTCAATGAGCATGTGTGATCCCTCTCTAGACTTTGTATCATCAGTTTGCTAACTTCATACTCTGAATCTCTAGAAGTTTAATGATTAAACAAGGGGTGCTGGTAGGAATGCAAATAGGGGTTAATATATTGCAATTTTAGTCCTTTCTTCAAATAGTCCTACTCATGTTTATCTAAACAACATATTGTTACCATCACAAATGAGTCATCTTCGAGAGTCTCAAAGACTTCTCAGGAGAAATTTATTATTTCAGAACTCAGAAAAAGAAAAATCTTGACTCTTTTATTTTCTCAGAATTTACCTAAGAAACTCTATAAATATCTTGTGTCTCGATTTGTAGCCAGAATCATGCCCCCTTTTTCAAACAGTATGTGCAAAATTATCCTCAAAAATAAACTCATAATGAAGATATATTCAATGATATATGTGAGTTTAAATTTTTAAACATTTGAAATTCTTTATTACTGGAGGGAGGGGGAACCCCAACCCAAATATGCTATATAGGACTTGTGTAGAGACAGATAATCCAGGTGATGGAAGGGTTCATTTGAGAAGGCTGAACCATAAAGTTGTGTTTCTGCAAGCACCTGTTAGGGTTTAGTGGAGAGAACTAAAAGGCCCTAGGAGAGTGCATCTAAACTCACAGCCTGGCCCTCAAAACAGGACACTGAAGCCAGGCTTAGGAACTGAGAGTTGGAATGAGTGATGAGAGGAAGTAGGGGAAAGGACTCCCAGAACACTTTTCTACTTGATGATTTTTCCCAGTGTTCACACACATACGGCTCTGCTCTATGTAGGGGAACACTCAGGTACATTGCCTTGGGCCCTCTCCCCACTTGGCTTCATTGAGAATTGGATTCCTATATAGTTTCAAATTAATTAAGTAGTCCAAAAGATAATTAACCCATGGGTTAATCAGTGTGAGATCATCTAGTGCTGGGTATTGTTGTTCATCAAAACTTTTCTTAACCAGCATTCTTTTTTTTAAATTTTTTTAGAACATAGATATCTCACACATGCCAAGTCTAGAAACTGACAGAATTTCCTTCAGCACGTGGTCCCAACAACAAACAACTCATTAGTTGAAAATCACTACCTTTATGAAGGGGCAAAAATATTCTGAAGCTTTATTTTTCTGTATTAGATAAATTAAGGTGCTTTTCATTCTTCAAATATAAAATGATATGGTAATGCTGAGCATTCTTCTCTTTATTGTAACCCCCTACCTCCAAAATATTTCTCTCTAGGGAATATGCTTTGCCCCTAACCAGCACTTAGGGTGCATTGCCTTAGCAAATTGGTTGCATTTATTTGGAGATAAAGAAGCTGTTAACTGCTTGTAATATTCTCCATATTCTATATGCTAGTTCTTAATTGAATGGCTCAACCTGTGAAATTATGGTTAAAGAGATAGGCCAATGTGTGAAGAAAGCATTTTCTTAATTCTTATTTCTTTCTAACTTAATGCTTTGGGAGTTATGTTTTTTCAGTTTTATTGACATCAATAAAAACAGTGAATTAGCTATTTGGCAGCTGATAAATTAGAGTATGATCCAAAGAGCAAATTAAAGATATTTGACACTGTGTATTTCACATTTCAGTGGTAATAATGTGAGTAAAAAGAATAACCCTTACCAACAAGGAACACCTTGTGCGAGTTGCCCTAATAACTGTGAAAATGGACTATGCAGTAAGTTTGAATTATTAACTTCCTACTCTAAGAGAATTGATGTTTTCCTTTCTTTTTATGAATTAAGAAATCCCCTAAACCAATTAAATAACATATTAAAACAAAAGCCAGAAAGATACTGAACAGTGTGTATAAATAAACTTACAATTCAGTAACTAATATTTTAATTATAATGAAAACACATTATCAAATATGACATATGTGTAATCTACCATCAGTGATTGTGCTGTAGATTTGATTAATATTAAATATACACTTCTGACAAATAGTTTGTTTTATTGAAGCTAATATAACTATGCCAATTTAGTTTTTTAATATTTTTTAGTTTTAGGTAGACACAATCTCTTTATTTTATTTTTATGTGGTACTGAGGATCGAACCAAGTGCCTCACACATGCTTGGAGAGCCTTCTTCCACTTAAGCCATAACCACAGCCCCGCCAAGTTAATTTTTAAAAATTCAAATGAATATATCTAAAGGGGATTAAGATTTTATTATGGTTCAGTCTAGACCAGTATGCCAAACACTACTCTTTTGTACCAATGAGTTCATTGTGTGAATTTCCTCACTTCCTTTCTACAGTACACAGTGTTTACCCTAATAAATGATGAAATGCTCTGTAATCTGATAATAGTTTAGGCATATTATTAATGACAAAATCAAATCTGTATACAATATTCACTCACAGAGCAAACATACTGTTGCAAATTAAAAGAATAAAACAAATGTCATACACCTCAATTTTAATTGTCATAATTACAAGTAAAAATAGCTGCTGACCTTCTATAGTTGGGATACTTTCATGAAAATTATTATTAATAATAGAATCAACCCACTTACTGAGGTTTTTACCTTTCAAATGCACTCACCTTTACTTAGCATTCTTTCTGATTCAATTATGTAATTATAATTCACAATATTGATGATATCAAGGCTATAAATCCACTAAGGAGGGAAAATGTTGAATACTCATACCTCTCCTAAATGCTTTTTGATGCAATGAGCACTCAATAGAAAGATTTTAAACAAATAGTGAAAAAAATGATAATTGTGTTTCATAGAGAGCTTTTTGGCAACAATATGCGCACCTGTTGAAGTGGAAGCCAGTTAGGATAATGTGGGAAAACATGGATTTAAAATCCGTGGGTGTCATCATAGCAGTACTGGCAAAATAAACAATAAACAAGACAGTATTTGTAATCTGTGCTGCTGGAGTGCTTGTTAAAAGGAGAGAGGAAGGAGTCTGAAATGGATCCACCTGCTGGCTTAAAGTACTGTGTGACCAGAGTGTCATTTCACTGAGACTGCAGGAAAAGTCCAAGAATCCTCAGCCTGATGTGATGAGTTTATTTTGAGTTTGTTGAGCCATGGGGTCTTTGGAAACATTTAATCAGAATCTTCAGAAGAACAAAGTGCATATTGTCCTTGTTTTATTCTGTGACCACTCATAAAGATTATTTGTACCCAAAAGCTGGCACTGGAGTAAGACATGCCCATCCAATAATGTGAGATAATAAAAATGCTCTTGTAACTTGTTGTATAGCTTTAGACACTAGTCCCATGTAGTCTCTGAACACTTTAAAATAGGTCTGGTAAAATTATAAAACTAAATTTTTAATTTATTATAAAGTTGAATAGCTACATGTGGCTAGTGACTCCCATATTGGATTCTGGGGTGAGAAAATATATTTGCATTTATTTTATTCTGTCTGCTAAGGTCAATACTTTTAGAAATATATCACTGGCTGAGTATGGTCAGCACACCTGTAATCCTAGCAGCTCATGAGGCTGAGGCAGGAAGGGTGCGAGTTCAAAGCCAGCCTCAGCAACTTGGGGAGGCCCCAAGGAAATTAGTGAGACTTTGTCTCTAAAGGAAAACTAAAAAGGGCTGGGTATGTGGCTTAGTGGTTAAACATCACTAGGTTAAATCCTTGGTACCAAAGAAAGAAAGAGGGCTAGGGTTGTGGCTGGCTCGGTGGTAGAGTGCTTGCCTAGCATGTGAGGCACTGGGTTTGATTCTCAGCACCACATATAAATAAAATAAAAGTCCATCAACAACAACAAACAAATTTTAACAAAGAATGGAAGGAAATAAAGGAGGGAGGAAGGGAGGGAGGAAGAAAAGAGAAAGAAATAGATCACTGAATTAAAAGTAATGGATTAGTCAGTGAGCCCAACTAAGACATGTTACGTGTCCCTCAAAACATGAAGTATAAGTGATGCTAACCTGTTGCTCACTCTTCCCTCCTCCCTCATACACTTTGAATGTATGAATTGTTTTGCTGATACAGTGGAAAATGACAGTAAGGTGATTTAAATCTGTTTTTGTTACAGCCAATAGTTGCGAGTTTGAAGATCTCCTTAGTAACTGTGAGTCCTTGAAGAGCACAGCTGGCTGTGATCATGAACTACTCAAGGAAAAGTGCAAGGCTACTTGCCAATGTGAAAACAAAATTCACTAAAATGCCTAGTGTACATCAGGCAGGATTATATCCAATGGCTTCATCATTTAGCAGAGACATACCCAGGGAAATTGGAGGCATACTAATTAGCAATTTGATCCCAAATGGCAATGTTTTTTTCTCCTGGATCTTTACAGAAATATCTGTCTCCTACAGCAATTTACAAAAGTAGCATCAGCCACAATAATAGATTTGGACTTAGATATCAATTTGCTGCTTTAAGTTAAGAATTTTTGTCATAGAACTTCACCCAAAAAGGAGAACTACTTGTCTCCTAAAACAACATGATAAAAAAGAGAAAGACTGGACATCTTTGCCATCCCTACTACATGATATTTTACCTGCATAAATAATAAATTCAAAGCTTGAAATCTACATTTGTCCTTGGCCTTTCTTTTAAACAAAAGTAATCAGCTTTTTAAATAAAAAGCTTATCTAAAGAACTACATGGATGGGATTCTCATGCAATGCTTCTATGGTATTCATAATCAACCCCAGGTAACTAAGCCCAGATAGATGATTATTCACAGAAAATTCTCCAAAATAGTTGCCTGTAAAATTAAATTTTAACAAAAAAGGAACATCAGTTCTGTTCTTACTTTTTCATTTTTGCATTTACATATTCTTCTTATAAGGACATAATCCAACAGAATATACGAATATAGCCTTCCAGTAAAACAAATATGGTAATACCTCAGGGAGATTAATTATGTCTTTATATAATTTTTTATATAGTTTAAGTCTTTATATAATTTTTTATATTGCTAACAACAGGTTAAAGTCAGTCCATTTATAGTTGAGAAACTAAAAATTTAAAAACAAAGTTATGGAAGGTAGTCAGAAAGTAAGTCTGGCCAGACAAGTGGTTAAATACTTTAAGTCATATTTCTAAAGCCTTCATTGTTTTTTAGGCCCAGATGGTTTCACACTGAATTCTGCCAAACACTTTTTTAAAGAATACCAATTTTTCATGATCTGTTCCAGAAAACTGAATGAAAAGAAATTCTTCTCAATATATTATATTTAAGGTTAGTGTTATCCTAATACTAAAAGACAATTCAGGAAGAAAAAAGATATAGACCTATAGCTGTTATTTACACACAAGGAAAAATTCTAAATAAACCTTAAGTAAATTGATCCAGCATCACAGCAAAAGGAGAATACACTCCAACTGAAATTTTGAACAAGTTACTAGAAAAAACAACAAATTAAATGTCTGGAAGATATGTCACCTGTCATGGAATACATTCATTGTATATATAGCTACCCGTGAACTTTATTGGAAATTCTTCCACAAAAATAGCATTTCTTCATTCTAATCTTAATAGCTCAATTTCTCATAAAGTGTGATTTGAAATATTTAAATCTATTTCAGGGAAGTAAATGTAATATTTTATTTTCATAACTGCAAGAGCACAGAGATGCAGTGACAATGTGTGAGAGAAGCACAGAATTTTCCATTTGAATGTTTTCTGGTATAAAGTCCATTCAATTTTTTGATGGGCCATTTGAAAGGATTTAAATGAAGAGCCACCTTTTGGTTGTTGTAAGATTAAAGTTACCTTTGAGTGGAAGATCTGGTCTGGTCCATGTTTTGAATATTTGGAAAACCTTTGCTATTCTATGGCTTTTTAAAATTATATCTAGTTCTAATGTGGCTAGTGAAGAAATCTAACATATAAAAACTGCATGGGAATCTTTGAAATGTAATTGCTAATTAACAATCACTCAAAACACATTTTTCCCCACTAAACTGAAGTTTTTTCAGAAATGTGCTGTTGTTTTACAAGTTGACTTGTATGATAATGCTTATCTCATTCTATGATAATCGAAGTGAGTTCTGAGATAATGTATAACATTCCAGTTTTTTTTCTAATTTTGATGAAGATGATGATGATCTTATTTTACTTCTTAAACACATAAAATTTTCAAACTTTCTAAACTGAATATCTTCAGAAAGAACTTAGGGCCAGCATCAAAATCTGTAATTGCACACAACTCCAAATAACCACACATGCTTGATGTTTACAGGCTTTGCTAAATCCCTCTTCAGAGTGAGCGTTTCCAGTGGACATTGTAGCACAACTATTGACAGACACAGCCATCAAGCTACTCCTCTATTTCATCCCCCCTTGATTGGTCACATGTTTCCTTCCACATTCATGCACTCATAATTCATTTACTTCTGGCATTTGATTGTTCCTCAGTCAGAATGTCATCTCCACACTTCCTTGCTTTTGTTTACATTGGATTTTCAAATTCAAGTCTGATTAGAATCTCTGTATCTCAGTCCAAAGTGTCATGGCCTGACTCCTCTCTCTTGGATCACAAGGGAAATGTGTTAGTTTCTTCTCAGGACAGTCTATTTAATATGGAGTTCATCCAGGCAAGAACCATGCCTGCTGAGCCCTGTGGGTTGCAGGGAATGAACTGTGCTGTGTGCATGAAGTACAACATCGTTCCCTATTCACTGCAGGAATGCAGAGGTCTTCATCACCAACCCTACTCTCAGTCAGGAATTTATTAGGTGGGAGATGAGATAACTAGGAGTATGGATGAAAAACAACTTCTTTGATAGACAATATCAATTTTAGAAAATAAAAAAATTCATGACTGTTTCCAGATGCAAATTATCTTTAAATTATTAACTGATACTCATTAATCCCAAAAAAGCAGGTACAAAAATTTAAATAGGAGAAGGTCCCTTTTTAAATAGCTGAAAACTTTTCTTTTGTATGCTTATTTTGTCTTCCAAAATACCCTCACACTGTCCACTGACCTGCTTTGGCTTTATCTAGGAGGAGAGAAAGAATTTATTACCTTTTAATTAATAAAGGAAGAATTTTGACTAGAAGTTATATTAACCCATGCTATTTGAGAATATATGTCCTTTCATTTATTCAGAGTTTATTTGTTATTAGATATTTGATAATAGCTTTTGTTTCTTCATACAGGTTTTATTCTTTTTTAAATAAAATTTATTATTAAAAATGTACAAATTTCATAGTTATAGTTATGAGGTACATTACAATGACTAAAAGGTCATTTCTATTATTTTTTAAAAAATTATTTTTATGTCAATCTGGTATTCAGTCATCACATTAAACTCTTCAGTTTTAGTTATATTTTGAATTATTTAGATAGTCCTACTTAATAGGTGATTAATAAACAATGTCATTATCTAGCATAACTACAATTTTTCTATCTAGGACTGCACTATATACCAATAAAATAGATGATTGATTGAGGTTTTGTCCATAGCATTAAGAATTTATATGAAAAGTAATAAATACATAAGTAATGTGACCCAATATAATAAATACCATAGTATAAGTGCACAGTAATTATAGTGGTAATCAAGAACTGGGGTGTATACATATTTGTAATATAATTGAAAATGTTTTAGGGATAGTCACTTTAGTTAATCAGAAATTCACAGTTCAGGGTTCATTGTTTACTGAAAGCAAAACTATAAAGAAAACTACTATCAATATTTCAATTACCAATGCCAAGAGATTTTGTTAATAAAATAGTGAAATTCAAAGATAGTACATGATGGTACATAATGGCTAAATATGTTTTCCTAACGAAAAAAAAATATTTCAACAAGACCTCATGTGAATTCCTTTTAATTTTAATATCACTTGTTTCTATGGTAGAATTTCTAAGCTAGTAGTGGTAATAACTTTGTGAGTCAGATCACTGCATCCACTAAACATGCCCAACCTATTAACAACATCTCAAAGTCCTTATGTTAAAGCCTTCTAATATTAATAGGAGTTTTGTACAATATAAAAGCAAACTCATTTTTATAAATACGGGGAAAATGGAATCCTGTTCAAGTTTTTCCCCACTTATTAATATGTGAGCCACTTAATTTTCTGGGACCATATTTACATCACTTATTTATTTATTCAGTTTGTTTTCATTGCTTATTTTATTTTGCATAGATGGTAATGCCAATAACTGAATCTTAAGAAATCTATTATTTCCTTTTTTGTTTGTTGTTTAAGGAAAATATAGAAAAGATGAGAAGTGAGCAATATTGTTAAACACTTATTATATTTGAGGCTCTGAGTTAGTGTTCACATATATTAATTACTTTTTGTTTTCTTATCACATATTTTAAAAATTTAGGAAGTTTGGAATCACATCTAAATAAATATTACAAGTATAAAAAAATTTAAATGTAGAATTTATATGAAAAATAATAAATACATAAGTAATTGTGACCCAATATAATAAATACCATAGTATAAGTGCAAAGTAATTATAATGGTAATCAAGTGGTAATCAATCAGCTATTTTTAAATAGCTGAAAACTTTTCTTTTGTATAATCTTCTTAGAAATATAATAAATTAATGCTACTTCCTTCAAATATCCTTTTCCCACCCAATTAGAGCTTTATAGTTATATATATATAGTAGTTGGGTTCATCCTGACAAAACCATACACACATGGAATTTGATTTCAGTCATATCCCCGTTTCCCTTCCCGTTTTCCCTCCTGTCCTCCTCTTCTCCCCTGTTTGCCTTCCTTTACCCTGCTAGACTTCCTTTCATTCATCTATTTATATTTGATCAGTTCTTTTTACTTATACATAATAAAGGTGAAATTCTCTGTGGTATGTTTATATGAGCATATAACATGACTTTTAAGAATTCATTTTGAATTGCCTTCCCTTTTCCCATCCCTTCACTCTGCTTCTTGATCTCCTTCTTCTACACTACTGATCTTACCTATACATTTATGGTGTTTTATCCTTTTCTCCTCCTCTCCTTTATTTTTACTCTAGATTCCACGTGAGAGAAAACATTCAGCCTTTGAGTTTCTGCTTCTGGCATATTTTACTTAGCATAATATTCACCATTTCCATCTATTTACCAGGAAATGTGATAATTTCATTCTTCTTTATGGTCGAGGAGAACACTATTGTGTATGTATACCACAATTTCTTAGTCCATTCATCTATTGACAGGCATTTGATTTGATTCCATAATTTAGCTAGTGTGATTTGTGCTCACTGCTTGTTTTGAAGACATGAAATTAAGAATTAATAGTAAAGGTTCGATCCCCCAATACCCCATCCTCAAAAAAGGGGAAAATGTGTTTGCTCATCCAAGATTTATACCTTACAGACTGACCTCCCAGAGTTGGGATGACCTCCTTTAAAGCTCCAGCCTACTGCTGGTCCAGTGATTAAGGCAATGGATTAATTTCTCTAAATTTGGAAACCAGCCCATCCATTTATCAAAGGAAGAGCTAATATCTCTCCAGCCATAAACATTGGGCTGCCCAATACTGATATTTA